TTATATATATATATATAAATTTTTTTTTATTTTTTTTTTTACGAAAAGTAAGATGAAAAATGTTTATTGACAACCTTTTTTTTTCCCATGACTATGATGAGACAACACGGATGTCATTTAACGATAACTGTGACTATATCAATATTCTGTATTGTTGACAGGAAAAGATCAAAACTAAAATGTAATTAAAAACAAAAAAAATACCAGAATCTCTATTTGTTTTCAAAAAAAGAGGAGACAAAATAATCGAAAGTTTTGAATCATTTACTTTTCAAAGTGGTTAGAAATTGTATTCCTTTTCCAGCTATTTTTAATAGCTTAGTTTTGTGTTACATGTCCTTGTTTTTGTCATATTTAGTTAACGTTCATTTGAAAACTTTTGATATTTTAGTCATATTATAGTCACGTTAAAGCAATAATTCACCCAAAAACAAATACTGTGATCATTTACTGTCCCTCAAGTTTTTCCAAAACTGTATTAATTTATTTCTTCTGTTGAACACAAAGGAAGATATTTTGAAGAATGTTGATTACCAAAGAGTTTCTGGTAGCCATTGACTTCCATAGTATGGAAGAAAAAAATCCATTATGGCATGCCAGGGTTACTATAGTTAAAGGGATAGTTCACCCAAAAATTACCCCATGATTTACCCTCAAGCCATCCTAGGTGTATTCTTCTTTCAGACGAATATAATCGGAGTTATGTTTATGTCCAAGCTTTATAATGGCAATGAATGGGGGTCGAGATTTTGAAGCACAAAAAAGTGCATCCATCCATCATAAAAAGTACTCCACACGGCTCAAAAGGGACAATAAAGGCCTTCTGAAGCAAATCAATGCATTTGTGTAAGAAAAATATCCATATTTCATCACTAGCTTCCGCTAACTGTCGTACGCGCGTTCACAAAAGAATGATGTTTCAGCGGATGATGTTGGATGTAGGCGAAGAAACAAACAAAAAATTTATAAAAATGGCACATTTGACAAAATGACAAAATACACAATTTAATTACTACAACTTTAACTAAAATTAAAATGAAAACAGAAAATATAAAAATGAAAGCTTTTTAAAAAATTGTAATAAAAACGGTAACCGTGCCAAAATAACAAAATCTTAAATCATTTTTAAGATTTTTATATCCTGAAATCCTGCATGTAAAGGTGACTTTTCTTGCAGTAGGCGATCTTAACTGTTGATTGTTCTGTGTTGCTGGACAGAGAGCGTTTTCCATGGATGATCGCATCGCATGGACACACGTGACGATCCCAGAGAGCCTGCGAGAGGGAACCGTCGTGGATGAATGGTACAGCTTGAGCGGAAGGCAGGGTGATGACAAAGAAGGCATGATTAATCTTGTCATGTCCTTTGCTGTAAGTCCTCACTCACAAAATACTCCTGTGCATGAACGGAGTGTTATGGCGTGTCTTAAACAGGTGTTACAAGAGAAATGCTGTTGCCTTTCAACTTTGTGAACCAATGCAATTGTGATAGGTATGCATATGTTGTGTTCTGCTTTTGCTTTCAGTGTGGACAGTCAAATTACTTGTTGCCTGTACAAATGACCTGGTCAGGACATGCATGAAAATTCAGAAAGTATATGCACTGTAAACTGATATAACGTATAAGAACAGTAACTCTTTCAAAAAAAGAGCATGTCAACTTTTGTTTAATCAAATGTATATTTTTCTCTCTCTCTCTCTCTCTTTTTTTTTTTTTTTTTGTCAAAGTCAATACCAGCGGGAATGATGATGCAGCCGCAGCCTGTGGTTTTGATGCCTACAGTTTATCAACAGGGCGTTGGATATGTGCCCATAGCAGGTATGTATAACACTGACATAATAAATCGATCAGCCACTGCTGTATTCATGCAGTTTTAGGGCCCTTCATCATGTTTAACCCTACTGTATCATATTTGGTACACACATTTCTAAGGCCTTTAAATGATCAAGATGATCAAAATGTTGCTGAAATGCCTGTTTCACACAATCTACTACATGCTTTTTGTCGTCTGATGGACGTTTAGAATAGCAGAGGGCCTAGGACAGATCCTTGTGGGACTCCATACTTTACTGGAGTTAATTGAGATGATTCCCCATTTAAATAGACAAAGTGATAGCGATCGGACAGGTAGGATTAAACCATCTTAAAGCCTGCCCTTAAATAACCGTATAGTTTTGTAATCGATCTAGGAGTACGTCATGATCTATAGTGTCAAACGCAGCACCAAGATCAAGTAAAACTAACAATGAGATGCAGCCTTGGTCTGATGCAAGAAGCAAGTCAGTTTCTATGCTATGATGGGCCCTGAAACCTGACTGAAATTCTTCATAGATATAATTTTTTTGAAGGAAGGAGTGTAATTGAGCAGACACAACTTTTTCTAAAATTTTTGACATAAACGGAAGATTTGACATGGGTCTGTAATTTGCCAGATCATTAGGATCTAGTTGTGTTTTTTAACAAGAGACTTAACCATCAGCTTGAACGGTTTTGGGAAATGACCTAGAGATAACGACAGTTCTTCCTGTCCTATAGTTTTTGGTTTTTTTTAAATATCATCTTACTAAGACATATTATTGGAGATATAGAGTGACAACTGATATATCATTTTATGTAGGTTGTCTGCTATACTGTTATAAAGACCTCATTGATTAACATTACAAACTATCAAAATTTCATCTTAATTTTTGGCAGTATAAATATCAGCATCTGCACCAAATTGCATATTTTTGCTCTGTTTCAGCCTCTGATTAAAAAAAAAAAAGCCCCGCAAAAACACATACGAAAACGTTTGTGTCTAAAGATTCAATTAACTTTCAAAAATAATAATAAAAAAAAAAAACTGATTTTCATGTCATTCTTTCATGTCAGATTTGCAGGGTTGAAATGAGTAAGCAAGCCTGTTCTGTTTGGGAGATTAAGACTCTAAAATGGTTGCCTGTGCACAGTTAAATACCGCCTTTAATGATAAAAACAAAACACGAAACGTACGCTTTTGTCCAAATGTGTATTTAGGTGTCCCTGGTATGTATAACCAAGGTGTGGTGCCCATGGGAATGCCAACCGTGCCTGCCGTCACGTCACAGAGCGCCCCCTGCGGTGAAGAAGACCTTAAAGCCCTTCAGGACATGTTTCCCAACCTGGACAAGGAGGTGATCCGCACCGTTTTGGAGGCCCAACAGGGCAACAAGGATGCTGCCATAAACTCCTTGCTACAGATGGCCGAGGAGCTTTAACTGCAGAACTGCCACACAGCTAGCGCTTAAATGTACCAACAATGTAAAACTTTATACCAAAAAAAACCCCCTGTAAATATGCACACTGAAGTCTATCAACCCTTAACAGTAGCAAGTAAATCTAACAAACTTTTAATTGTCTTTAAATCAGCATTCAGAATGAATGTTTCTGGGACGTTACAGAGAATGTAGGATGATTTTTGCAAAGGAGTTGCTTGTCATATGTCCGCTGAGGGCAGTATACCATATCTGTATTGTAGTGATCCCATGTCTTAAAGATGTTTGATATACTGTTTTATGCTTTTATCTGTATGAATTTAGTTACATAAATGTAAATGGATTTAATTTATTTTGAAGATGATTAAAGAGATATCGGAGTATATCAGAATTAATGTCATTATTTTAATGGCTCGTTTGTGCACAAACCTTTTTATGACCATTACAAGCACAGAATATCTGGTAAGTGTGAAATGCCTAATAGCAGCCCATGATATTGGCAAATATATGACGCACATTGCCTGTTATTGCACAGTACAGTTGCAAGACCTTGAGGTTAAAATTATCATATTGTTTTGGAGTAAATGGCACTTGGAGCAAAACTAAAAAAAATTATTTGCTTTTCTCCTCTGCTCTAGCTTGTTTACTAATCTAGCTTTATAATAAACCTGGCATTGCACACTGTGATTGTTGTTGGCTCTGTGATGAATTGCTGTTGTTTTTCTATTATGTTACTTCGGATAGAAGTGTCAGCTAAATGCATAAATGTAAACCTAAATGAAAAGGCTATAGTTGCCATATTGCTCTAACTAACGCACCAGTTATCACCAGTTTGAATGTAATTAGACTAAAAAATATAGTTTAAAGTGGGTTGCAAAAGGTTATAATTTTGCATCCAAAATCTTTACATTGTGAATCCACAACTGTGACAGAATCCTTTCCACCATGCCATTCACAGAGCATTGAAACCATTGTAGTTTTCCAGAAAAATGACAACATATAAACAAACTTCAGTTTGCATTAGTTTATTAAGAGCTACTAGACAAGAAACAAAAAAAGCTGTCATGTCACCATAGAGATAATTATCACAAACATTTCATGCTATTAAAATTTACAGATTTGTTCCATAAGATTAATTTGAAACTGCTCTACTGTTCGGGGTTAAGAACGCAGGTTCACAATCTCCTCCGGCGTCTCCTTAAGGAAGTCGATTGACCAGAGCAATCGGAGGCCTTGCAGCCACAAGACTCAATGTAAATGTAAGTGTGGCTGATATTTGACCCATCAGGGCAAGTCAGGGTCGCTTCCTTCTTGGTGGTTGTCATTTCTTGACAGCACGAGCACGAGTGCACAAGAGCGTTCGCTTCTGCAGAGTATCTGTTTCGACATACAATGACGGTTCGGTTGTTAAGTACCAGCACAGACGGTACAATTTGTGGCACAAAAACTACATGTATTTATAAATGAAGGTCTCTAAATTGTGATTTTGATACTCACATTGATGAGGTCTCACACAAGCCTGAGCAAGAGCTTATTTCCACAGGTGTGCTGCTTATACAGCCATTACTGTCCATGAAGGTGCTGTTCTTCTGGACATTACATTTGTTGTCCAGTGTACCTAAGGGAAATGAGAAACACATTAAGTAAGTGTTAGAAAATATAACTCTACACTTTATATGACCTGAAATAGTTTTTCGGCAAGTTCAGTAGCAGTGCTGGGTAGTAACCGATTACATGGGAAGTTTGGGAAACTTTGACGTAATATGTTTAATGCACTTCATGTTGTTAATAACAACAAATGGAATATTTTTATATCAATGTGGTACGTGATTATCCCATTTAAATCAGTTAGGTCAAAATTATTCTAAAAGTAATCAAAAAGCAGTCTGATTATATTTCCTGAAAAGTGTAATGTAATGGATTATGTTACAACTACAGTTTTTTTTTTCATGAAATTTGGAATCGGTAACGGACTACAATTTGCAAGTAATCTACCCAACACTGTTCAATAGCAGTATTTTCTTTTTTTAATTAAGTTATTTTGCTCCTAGAAATGGTGTTCAGATAGTGGCATCAGGTGTAAAGCTGAATGGCATTACCCGTCATTTTCACGAATCATGATTCAAATAGAACATAAATGCATTTTTAAGAGTAATATTTAACTCTCATTAACATATTTTGCAATTATTGAGTAATGCTTTTTAAATGTTCCAGACTCACAGGTTTGACAGCAGCCATCTGCATCTATTGTCTCTGTTCCCTGTAGAAAAAGAAAAAGCATTAACCATTGAACAGACTTAAATTTAAGATATTAAGTTGTCTCTTTCAAGCCACTTACAGGGATACAATTCTCAGGATTGAAGGCAGGGCAAGTGGTCTTAATCTCAACTGTCACCGAGTTACCGTTGACTCTCTCACACTTGTATTTCACACATTTGTCATTAGATGGTTGCCATATCTGGTCAACCTGTTAGTGGAGAAGGTATACAAAGAATACTTAAAGCAAACATTTAAAATGTCATTAATTTGATGTTACAAAATGCACTTTACAATGCAATTGTTAAAATGCTAAAATAAGTATCATGTCGGAACTTACTAAAACGGTAACTGTGATGTTGTCATGCATAACCACACAATCGGTGCTAACACACTCTCCACAGCACTGACCAGGAATGAGTTGGTACTCGTGACCCTGAAGGAAAAAAAAAGAAAGAGAAATACATCACATTGCCTGGTAGTTGATAGATAACTGTGCACTGACTTCTTTTAAAGGTGTCTATGCTTATTGTTCACATGATTTGTTATGCTTTTTCTAAAACGGTGGCATTTGTAACCCGACTCCGCTAGTCTTTATTGAAGACGGAAATAGACGATTATACCTCTGGACAGTTATCGTTGCAGTCAGCTATCACACACTCTGGAGCAAGAAGATTTGTTTCAGGATCTACGTTCCAACCACACTGACAAAACGTACAAGGGTCATCGCTTGGTATAGATGAGCCAGGCTAGAGACGAAGATAGAGAGAGGGAATAAGTATACTTTTGATATCTTGTATATATATATATAAAATGAAGTAATATCTCATTTTACCTGATACACTGTGGTATTATGGACACAGACTTCCATGGGTGCTGTAAAAATTAAGAAATGAATGAGTGCATCGCACAGCATCAAAACAAAGTATCATTTCTGAGAACAACTGGTCCATATACATACAGCAAATATAATCTGGACAGCAGTTATCTGGAGACACGCTGAAGGATGGTATAAAACCCAGTGGACATTGTATTGTCGGAATAAGGCACAGGTTCACATCACAACCTGTAGAATAATATTAAACATTTTTGTTCAGCATGTCATTGTAAATGTACAGGCATTTCTATAATCAGTTTTTTGAATTTTTAGTCTAACTTTCTGCTGTTTAAACAGTACAAGGGTAAAATCAAGACCCATCATTTGCTTAAGTTGGGACCTCATTTTTTAAAGCCATCAGTTGAAAACCACTAGTATGACTGAATAACTAAAAACTAGTAAATATATAAAATGAATAGTATTTCTGTCATCTGTTTTAAAAAGTCCTTCTGAGTCCCCGTTTTCTTGTTTTCAGATCACTTACTGCACTCATGGATCTCACAGCAGTCAATTGTTGTGTTCACAAGCACTTGTCCAGGCTTATCGCAAGTAACAGGTGGTGAAACAGGACAAGTTACAGGCTGGCAACGGACCGTCAGTGTTTCACTCTCACACTCACACATTTGACATCCACTCTGCCAAGTATCATTGGGCTGCAAAACCCCCCAAAAAAAAAACTCGTCAGATATGTCACTGGAAGGGTCTTAGTAAATGATGGTAATGTTTGTGTAATGGGAGCAACTGAGGTCTCCATGGATGTGGATGAGTAGAAAACATTTTGAGTGGAAATTGGTGAAATAGTTGAAATATACACTGTTTTAGTTGTTTCGAAAGAAGTTTCCACTTCTAAAGTGGTTGTTCCTGTAGTCGTTGGTTGGCTTGTTAGGCCAGTCGTCTCCACTTTTGGTGGCCTGGTGGTGGTGGACAAAGGTGTCTGAGCTGTGGTCAATTCATTCTCAGTTATAGTCTCAGTTGTTGTTGGTTGTCCAGTTGTTTGAGTAGCTGTATGTGCTTGTAGATGTTGATGTTTCAGATGATGTGCCTGTTACCTCTTCTAAAGTGGTTGTTGCTGTAGTCGTTAATTGGCTTGTTAGGCCAGTCGTCTCTACTTTTGGTGGCCTGGTTGTGGTGGACAAAGGTGTCTGACCTGTGGTCAATTCATTCTCAGTTACAGTCTCAGTTGTGGTTGGTTGTCCAGTTGTTTGAGTAGCTGTGGAAGATTTTGAAGTTGTGGAGACTACGCTTGGAGCTGATGATTCTGTAGATGGTTGGGCAGTGGTGCTTCCTTCCTCTACAATGAGAGTAGTGGATGGGACGGCTAGTGTGGTGGTTGAAAGAGTTGTTTCAGCTTTGAGCGGTTTTGTTGTTGAAGAAAGACCCTGAGTGGTAAGCTCAGACCCAGTGGATGATTCTACACTCACTGTTGTGTACACAAGGGTAGTGACTGGTACAGCAGTTGTCTTTGTCAGCATTGTTGGCTGTGTGGATGTAACGACTGGCAAAGAAGTTTGTGACATTGGCAGGGCTGTGCTTGTAGATGTTGATTTTTCAGATGATGTGCCTGTTACCTCTTCTAAAGTGGTTGTTGCTGTAGTCATTGGTTGGCTTGTTAGGCCAGTCGTCCCCACTTTTGGTGGCCTGGTGGTGGTGGACAAAGGTATTTGAGATGTGGTAAATTCAAACTCAGTGGTTTGTTCACCAGTAGTCTGAAGTGTTGTCCATGCTTTAGCAGTTATCGTTGCAAGGGTTTTTGTAATGGGTGCAATTGAGGTTTCTGATGTTGTTGTTAACCTGCTTGTACTTTGTGCCTCTGTAGAGCTTTCAGCTCCTGTTGTTTTGTTTCCTGTCGTGGTTAAGGACAGTGTTGATGTTTCAACTGCTGATGTTGAAGACATTGATGTTACTGATATCAGTTTTTCAGTTGAATATTTAATTTCTGTAGTAGAAGCAGTTAAAATAACTTCAGTTGTTGGTTGGCTTAAATGTCCACTTGTCAATTGTTCTGGCTTGCTTGATGTGGATAAATCTTCATGAGTTGTGGTTGTTTCTTTTTCAGTTTCAGGTGAAGTGTATTCTGTGGACAAAGGTACAACATTAAAATGTCAATCAATAAACAAATAAATAAATAATTTGGTGTGTAAAAATATATGTTCAATGTTTGAATACTATAAAAATACATTTTAATTCCATTGTGCAGAGAAGTTCTAATTTCAGAAGATCTAATTTGAATTGAATGAAATAATTGATGTTTACAACAACAACCTTACCACAAGTCTTCCCAGTAGAACTAATGCAATGCATCAACTCTATGGTTTACAATGCATGAGGCCTAAACAAACTATAGTAGTAATATATAAGATCAGGAATAAATGTGTACCACAGAAATGAAAGAATACCTGGGGTGCTGAAGACAAAAACTGTTGTCGGGGTTGGTGTTAATTTCTGCATTGTGGTCATGGTGGATGTGGTTGTTGGGACAGTAGTTGTTTCACAAGGTATCAAAGTCCTCTCAATAGTTCCATTGACTGAACATTTGCTTGTGATACAACCTCCCAGCCCATCCGTTGTGTGATAAATGGTATCTCCAAAGTTGTACTCCACATTGTTGTACTGGCATGTACATGCTGTAAAAATAGAAAATGTATATGGAAAGTGTATAAAGTTTTATGAAAGAGTATATGATGACAATAGATTCTTCTTACACGATCTTCAAACTAAACTATAACTGAAATGCTAAAAACCTTACCATTTACATCAAAGTCACAGACAACACCAAATGATGTACAATAACTGCATGAGGAAAAAGTACAGATAGAATAGATTAAATATATTTCAAAACTGTTAGTGACCTTTCTGAAACATGAATATGAGTAGAAAATATCTACACATACCATGACTGACAGTTCTCTGTGGTTGGCACCTGCTGGCCAACCTGATAATGTAACATATCAACAAAACAGCCACAATCTTCCTGCGTCACACACTTCATGTTATCCTCATCAAAAATAGGCTGCTCGGGAGGACATTTAGGATAGCATCCTAAAAAAAGATTAAAAGGGAAAAATACATAAATCAGATAAAATAAAATTTAAAAAATACCTCGATGAGGATATGTGAAGTTCAAATTAAGTTCAATAGATTTTAGTGAATCAATTGTTTTTACAAATTTTACAAAGATAGTGTTCCATATACTTGTCCAGTTTAGGGAATAGAGCCTATTATATGTTTTTTTAATGATTCAAAGCCAAGGTGATATAAGTTTGAGTGATGTTATGAACAATAAACATTTGCATGAATACTTGACTAAAATCCATTTTAATCACTTTGAAGAAAATTTTTTTAAAAACCTGAAGCAAAATATCCCCTTCCTGTTATTCGTTATGTGGTCTACATTATTGATTACCAACAAAATCACCTCTAGGATACCTAGAGCAGTAATTGTATACTGAATATATTGCAATGCTAAAAAAAACACATATTTAATAAACTACAGAATATGTGTGATGTATTTTGAAATCGTATTAAAGTCATTTTGTCACAAGTAGTAATAGTTTTCTCACTAACATGCAGGTGATATAACTGGATTTAATTACGAGTTCTCACCTTCAAGTGCTGGTATCTGACTAGAGCAGTTTCCAGAGGGGTTTCTGCATGTCTGCATACAAGGTGCTCCACAAGGTTTGTAATGCCACTCACATTCACCAGGGGGGTTGTAATAATCACAAAACATTGCTGCAATAAAAAGGCAACCTTAAACCTGTTTCTTGGTTTTCTTTGATGTTTACAGCTTTTAGTCATTCCGACACAACACATCTGATGACAGTCATATAACTATTAGTAACTTACGGCATATTTTAGGTGTTCTCCAAGCAACGCAGGCTCCAGCCTCATTACAGGCTTGTGCATAGGCTGTTACAGCTGTGCAAAAACACTCATAATCTCCACCACTATCACAGGCACATGCATCTCTCACACAAGCGTCATAAAAAGGAGAGGGGTCCACCTTTAAAGCAATATTCATGACAATGTGACTGTTACCAAAATTGCATTCAATGTTTCAGAGAAAAAATACATATGGCTTTTCAAGCTCCCTAAAAAGCAGTTTGTTGTAAGTACCTGTGAATGACAGGTTGAGAAGACACTGCTAGTAATGATGCTGCACTGCCTCTGTGCCCACGCCTCTCTATATGGATTATGGACACAAGGATCTTGGATGAGGGTTGCATCTGGACAATTAGAGAGCTTCCAGCTGTTTACAAAATCCAGGGTTTCGACAGCAATTGCTTGACTGCGCGTAGTGAAGTCATTGTTTGCGTTTCCATCATAGTTTCCGCACAGACCACACACGCGGCCCTATCGATACAAATGGAAAACTGTTAATATATAAAATAAATCTGATATTTGCAATTAACAAATAGAGTCAACAAGGGTGGAGTTGATGAACCAACCACTTTACTCACATTAAACTCTGGACTCAGTTTGATGTGTATAGTTGTTTTTCTGTCCCATATGAGCATCAGACCATTATTGGCCTCAATCACCAAGTAAAGCCCCATGGTGCGCATCTGGTAGGGAATCTCCTCTCCTGCATCTCTATGAACAACTTGGTAGGATCCATCTATCAATCTAAGCTCAATGCTCTGAAATACAATGGCATAATTGCAATGCTTATTCTTCACTAATTTAAGGTTGCTATGAATGTGAGAAGTTAACTTACGCCAAGAAACAGCTTGATAGCCTTGGAACAAGTGGTGCCGGTGGATCCACAGGGAATGTTTTCAGTAATGACTCTAAAAGTGCCGGTCGTGTTGTTACAAAAGTCCTGGTCGTGGCATAAAATTTTGATTTAGATGATAAAGTTACAGTATAAAGATCTTCAGGCTTCGTAAGGAAGTGCAAGGTTAATACCTGAACAAGGCTGTATTCACAGTTTCCACTGAAGACGTATATTTTCTCATCAAACGTTTTATAATGGCCGTCTCCATAGATGCTGCATGTCCCACTGCACTGGTTTGTGGTGCAGATCCATCGTCTATCCTTACAAGTGCTATAAAAAGGAATGCAAGTTCATTATGAAAATTGTATACAGAATATAAAAAATAATTACAAATCCTGAACAGCTAAACATACCATGTATTACAGTCAGTCTTAATGCTTTCTCCAGGTTGGTAGGCAACTCCGTTATGGAAGCAAGGGCACAGGTTTTCAGCGATACAGCCACCTTTCCCATCAGACACCAGTCCAGAGGGGCACACACAGCCAGACACACACTCTGTGCTGATCTGCAGTCATTCAATATTAAAGTCAGCAAATGCTTACTTGTAGCTGCTGAAAGGAATAGTTCACCCAAATTTAACAATTTAGTTATTTACTCACCCCAATGCCATTCTAAACCCATATGCTGTTATTTTCTCAGTACAACAAAAAGGGGGAGTATATAAAGTATCTTCATTCTGCTCTTTACAGTACATGCTAGTCAAGTTCCAAAAACTCAAAGGTTTTTTTAGAGCATTTTTTAAATGTCTTCCAAAATCTCAAAGCTCTCAAATTTAATTTTACACTCCAGACATTACAACTGGCAATATTTAATTGTGCATTGATGGTGTTTTATTACCCATAATGCAGTTTTACTGTTGTTGTACTTAAAGACTTGGACACTACTCAAAGAAATGTCTTGTTTTGTGTCACACAGAAAAAGTACCATCAGCATGGCCTACTCTTTTATAGGAATTAAAGCAACTCACGCAGGCCATGTCTAATGTGTTGCAGCTCTTCTGACACTCCGATCCCGTGGATCCAGGGCTAGCGCTGGAGCAGTTGAAAAACGTCATTGGATCTTGGCACTCTAAAAGAAAAGAATGAACAAAAAGACATTAAGGGTATGCCCGTAGCTGATCTCAAATACTAATACAATTAAAGTGTTATCCAGAAACCTGAGGTTTTTTAAATGTACAATTTAAATATAGCTTCACGCACCTTCCCCATTCGATACCCCAGTGCAGCTCAGTTTCCCTTGCTCGCAAACACTGAAATTTAAATATTCGGTTAACTATTATTAAATCGCATTTTGGGCAAGTTTATAACAGGGTTTTTCAAACTGAAGTCCATGGACACCCCCACCGCCCTGGGTTGAAAAAGTATTATTATAATATTCAAAGTAGCCAGCTTTATATTGGTGCCTCAGGGTTGTCATATTTGGGGGTCACTGATATCAAAAACTTTGAAAAACCCTGCCTACAACAATTTTTTCAACAGAAATTTAACCAACTCCATGTGCATACCATGATCCACCATCTTTAGGGATTATATCTCCAGCAGGAATAATTTTGCCTGAATCATAACATGAGCAGCTGGCAGGTGCAACACAGTCACCATTCTCGTTCATGTACGTTCCTTGTGCACAGCCACAGCCATCTACTGGCACCAAGTCAATAGCGCAGGTGTTGTCTGATTGGCTGAGGGATCGGCAAGTGCGGTCACAGCTGGTCATTTGATAAGAGTAGACCGTGGTGCTGGGGCAGGTTAGCGTGTACGTTTCTGAGAAGAAAGAGACAAACAACTTGATGAACATATGCAACCAAAAATTCTTATTTGAGCTCTCACATGTTGTTTTTAATCTGATTGACTTTTAAAATGAAACTCGAGCTGTTGACAGCTATCAAATATTCTCAAGCCTTCCAGAGAAGAAAGCAACTCACTGCAGGCAACTTCTCTCCAGCCATCAAGAGCAATCCCTCTTGCAGCACATGCGTGAACGTATGAAGACAAAGCAGCACACATGCAGTCCTCACTTTTCTCACAGTTGCAGCTGTCATATATGCAATTCTAGAAAGGATGTAAAAGTTAGAGAAAACTCTAAAAAAAAAACAATAAAAGAGAAGGAACGTAATTTCACTTACTGCTTTGTAGACTTCAGGGCTGATTTCAGAGTGGCAGGGGGCAAACACTGATGAGGGATCTGATAGCAGGGAACACCAGTGCTGTGCATATTTCTCTGTGAAGCAAAAAGTGATTGATGATTAGTCTTTAATGACATTCCAGAGTTATAAATCAAATCACAGCAACTCATACCATTTTCAGTGCTAAGACTGCAAGGATTCTCAAAGTTTCTTTTGACATCAGGGCAACTTGCTCTTGTTTTCCAGGTGTTTGCAAAATCTAAAGCGGTTGCTTCCCTGAGTCCACCAATGGTTGTGAAGTCATCAGCCTCAATGTTGTTGAAATTGCCACAAAGACCTGTAAATTGATTTGTTATTAACAAGATTAATACCGGAAACAGAATTAAATTGAAAACAGAGAAAAAAGTCAGAAAGCCTTACATGAAGATCAAAAAGCATGCACATTTATTGATTTGATGCTGCTTTTATTGCATGAGAGGGTGAGATAATAGGTCTGTAAAAAATAAATACCGCATGTTTCTCCTTGGTACACTGAATTGACTGTGATGTAAAGTTGCATTAGCGGTACAAGCTGGATCTCTAGACGAAGCCCAGTCAAATGGGCCTGAATGACAATGTAGAATGAGGAGGGCTTGAAAATGCTCACATCAGCTGAAAAACAAATAATAATAGACACATTAATAAATAATTGGTAAACAGTAATAAAACAGAAATCAAGCAGTTCTTTGTATAAGCAATCTCCATTCTGAACAATTATTCAAATGAACCAACGCTATTTGAATCACTTTAAAGATTTCATATTCGCATTCCCTACATTCACCAAATATGCAATATTTATATCCAAAAGATGGCATCAAAAGTTACAGTGTATTTGATGTTTTCTAATGAACAACAACTGATTTAGTGCTGGTATGTTTATCAGTGCTAGTATCTATCTATCTATCTATCTATCTATCTATCTATCTATCCTCGTATTT